TGTGTCCGTGTGCGTATGCGTATGCTTGTAATAATAATAATCATCATCGGTTTATTGATTTTTATGCAGCCAGATGCTGATAATATACATAGAAATACAGATAAAGAGACAAACTATAAACACATATAAACAACAAAGTATACTAACAATCTATAACCTCAAACTAACCAAAAAACAAACCAACAAAAGACAAGTGCAAATACAGATGTGCTAGGAGCTGGACTAGTAATTGTAGACTAGTGCTCGTTGATGAGTCGGACTAGAGTGGGTATTGTGCTCCGGTGCTAGCGGTCCGTGCGGGCCCTGATGGGCACCAGTTTGTTGGCGGCGCGTCGGGGGGCAGCAGGTCGCGGTGGCGTGGATGGCGCAGCAGCTTCAGGCCAAACTGCTGCAGTGTGGTGGCGTAGTGAGTGGCGAGGGAGGTGAGGCCTAGGGTGGTCAAGGCGCTGTCGTAGCTGGTATAGACAGGACTGAGAATAATCTTGGCTGCCCTTTTCTGCACCCTCTCGAGTTGAAGCAGCTGGGTGGTGGTGAGGGAGGGGGGCAAGGCAAGATGAATAGCCTGTAGATATTCTGAAGGGGACTCCGCACGTGAGTGGCAGAAGTCTGGAAACTTGACCCTGCACGCGCACGGCCTGTTGCCTGTTGGAAAAAAAAGTCTGTCAGCCAAGGGATGAGGCACTCCCTGATGCCCGTGGAAGATGCTGCTTTTGAGGTGACCGTGGTGTAGTCCACCAGGTCGAAGGCTTTCTTGAAATCTATGAAGATGCTGGTGACAGGATTTGCGCTTGTCGAGGTGGGCGTGGACGAAGAAGAGGAAGCTGACAAGGCAGTATGTGGTCGAGGAAGAGCGCATGTTGCCGAATTGCCGAGTGTCAACGCTGGGCGCGAGGTCCTGGTAAGCCCAATCGGCGACAAAGCTCTCACACAGCAGACTGGGCAACGGAGTAATAGCGATGGGTCGTAGTTCGCCAAATGAGGCGGGGCTTGGGGTTTTCCCGATGGCGCTTACAAAGGTGGTCTTCCATTGTGATGTGCACTTAGACTTGCAGTGAGGCGTTTATTATGGAGGTAAGAGGAGTGGCAAGTTGCATTGCGAACTCCTTGACGAGGCGCATTGGCAGGTCAAAGGGGTAGTGGCTGTCTTGACGCGGATTTTTTCCAGCTTCTGAAGCACCTGAAACTGGCTGATTGTTGGAGCAAGTGAGTGGCCGGCAGGTAGGCGTGGAGGCCGGTGGTGTCCAACCGAGGCGAAGTGGTCGTTGAGAGCCTCTGTTGCTTCACTGGGGCTGAGGTTGCTGGTGCATGGGAACGTGCACGGCGGATTTGCAAGGCCGCACAGCTTCCGAACACTCCCGTGCCATCGGCTGGGCTGCAGGTGTTGTAGTTTGTTGTGGTAGTTTTTTTCGGCTGTTTTCATTTCCCTGATGGCTGTGTTGCGGAGTGATTTGTAGGTGATGTGCGAGTGGAAGGCTCGATTTCTCTGTTGAATGAGGCGCGCGCGCGTGTGTGTGTGTGTGTGTGTGTGCGCGCGTGCGCGCGCGTGTGTGTGTGTGTGTGTGTGTGTGTGTGTGTGTGTGTGTGTGTGTGTGTGTGTGTGTGTGTGTGTGCGTGTGTGTGTGTGCGCGCGCGCGTGCAAGCGTGCGTGCGTGCGCGTGCGTGTGCGTATTACCCGAATGTTCTTTCAGATGCCCAGTCTGAGCACCAGCAAGGAGACCTGCGATCCAGTAATATGCTTCATGGCCAATAGTAAGTTAAATTTCACTCTTAATAATTACTTATAAAGTGGAATCTTATCTTCTATGCATTATTGGGTTCCGCCACAAAGGATTATAGATCTAACTATAAGCTCTTTAGACTGGTATAGTTTCATTTCATCTTTCCGGAGATAATATGACTGACTAACGTTTCCTGCGTCGCCAGGCTTGAGCGGCCTGCACTGGCAGTTTGAGCCGGAGTTCAAGGTCCTGTACTTCAGCGTGCGGCCGCGGGGCGGGGCCCGCGAGCACGTCTATCGGTCTGTCAACTTGTGCAAGCGTTCTTCGCCGCACAGGTTCTGGCATTCCATGGAAATCCTCCGCCAAAGGCACCCTGACGCAAAGTAGGTTGAGACCACACTTGAAGCAGCGAGTTTTAGTGAACTTTTTCAGAATTACTTTTTTTTAATAGTCTTTTTGTCATTTGGAATACTGATGTTTTCAAGGACACTCAGAAATGTGGAGTCCTTTTTTTCATTTTTTCCCAAAATTCTTCCTCAGAATAATTCTGTCAGTGCATCAGGGGAAGGAGTATTTCTCGTACTACACCGTGTACCCCTGGCGGAAGGACCTGTATGGGCACATGGCCGACCTCCCTGTCAGCGAGACGCTGGATGTGCCTCAGCTGCTGAACCGCTACAGCGCTCTCTTCAATAATACCACACAAAGAAAAACTCGGAAGAAAAAGAGAGAATGATAGATTCGAGTTTAACTTTTCCTCTATTCTGTCTGATGGTTAGAATAGCACTTTGCACTTTATACAGTGCAAATTTCATGTTCAAGCATCCATCGGTACTTTCAAGTACCACTATAAGACATTGTCCACGTCAGCTATTGGTAAATATGCAGAACATGTTCGCGTGGCCGAAACGACAGTACTGGTATCGATGCATTCTTCTCAGCCTCTGCGTGAGATCCCCACCATCTTACTCCGCTAGGAGGGGAGGCCTTGAAGGTTACCAGGGATATTGCTGGATAAAATGTGAAATTGGGTAATTAAATAATCAATGCACGTGGGGTTATCGGGTTCGTGTATAGGGCTGCAGCCCTTATACCCCACCCCCTAGGGCTGCTCCCCCAACTCCCCCCATGGAAGACAAAGAATCCTCCAAGCATTTACGGCTGGAGTCAGGACCGATCAAAGGGATCTCACAGGTCCTAGGGTCACCCCGCATGTTGGTCGCACACTCCATCCTGCTGTAAATGCATAGAAAATTCTTTGTTTTCCAGGGCGGTTATGGGCGGCACCCTCCTAGCATTAGATGCTATACTAGTGCATTTGCAGCTAATGTTTCTTCGGCATCCCCCCCGTAATTCCCCTCCCCTGCTACTGGAGCCAAGTTTGTAAGATGAGCGGTGGGGGTTCCTGCATATATGACAACTATAAGAGCGAGAGGAATCCTTTGGTACCGGTAGCGACGTGATTGGCCGTGCGAAGATCTTCTCAATAAGTACTCAATTGCTAATGAAAGCTTTATAATCAAGTAATGGTCATATATCGATATAGATGTAAATATAATCATATATGAATATATGCTATGGTACAGAATATGGCCTGCTGGCGGTCCTAGTGTGGAAATGTTTAATGTTTTAAACAAATAAATTTACTAGACTTCAAAGGTCATTTAACACTATGGGAAAATATTGTGGTGGGAGGGGTTTAGAGAAGTTCTTTATGAAAACAAAATGTCTTAGATTTCAACGGTTTACCGAGGAAAGTTTTGAAGTGGGGGTAGTAGTCGGTGGCTGGGCTGTTTGAAAGGAGGGGCTGAATTGTGGAGAAAGCGGCAGATCATGCCAAAGCATCTGCTTGTTCATTCCCGGGGCTCGCGATATGGTTATGATAATGTTGATAATAATATTAGTAGAAATAATACAAATAAAAGTTAATAACAAAATTCATCATAGTATCTGTAAAAAGAAGAAATGTTGAAACATTCACCGAATGAAATGAATGACTGGTACACATATTCCATAAAATTGACAGCATGTAATATATGGCATACAATAATAAGTAGCAAAGTACAACGTGGAATAGAAATAAATTAGGAGAATTATTAACCGAGCCGCTTGACATAAAAAAACAGATGGAAGGAGTATATAGAAATGCTTTACAAGGATGAAAAACCTATAGAAAAGCTTATAGAAGAACAAGCTAAAGTTGATCAGTATAATATTGGCTCGACCTTAATGAGAAGTGAAATAATCACAGCAATGGAAGAGCTTAAAACTGGAAAAGCAATGACGGTATACCATCGGAAATGATAAAGACTTAGAGATGGTGAAGTTGTGTCAACACATTTATATGGAAGGAAAATGGCCAAAAGATTTTGTCAAAATAGTAATGGTTCCATTAGAGAAGAACCCATCAGCAAGGACATGTGAAGACCACAGAACGATTAGTTTAATATCACATGCCTCAAAGAGTGTGCTGAAGATACTGAAAAGGAAGTAATAGGACAGGATCAGTTCGGATTCATAAAAGGGCGTGGAACGAGAGAGGCAATAGCTGTGTAATGAATTTTGGCAGAACGTAGCATAGAACATAATCAAGAGTTGTATGTATATTTTGTGGATTTTGAGAAAGCGTTTGACAGAGTGAACTGGAGAAAGTTAATGGACATCCTTAAGAATATTGGTATGGATTGGAGAGATAGAAGATTGATAAGCGAGCTATACATGCAGCAAACTGCAACAGTACGAACAAAAGATGGAGAGTCAGAACCAGCAGTAATTGGTAGAGGAGTACGTCAGGGCTGCCTGTTGTCACCTTCTCTGTTTAATGTGTTCGCAGAAGGAATGGTTAGAAGATCATTGGAGGATTGCAAAGAAGGGGTAAGTAGGAGGACAATTAGTAAATGCGGTGCGATTTGCAGATGATCAAGCTATGGTAGCAAACTCAGAGGAAGGATTACAAGAAATAATGGACCGTTTAAACACAGTAGTTGAAGAGTTTGGAATGCGAATTAACGTAAAGAAAACGAAAGTTATAAAGGTTAGTAAGAACGGCAAAGGAAATGTTACAATCAAAATAAATGGTAAAAATCTGGAACAGGTCAAGAGTTTTAAATACCTAGGAAGCATATAAACAAGTAATGCCTATTGTAGTACAGAGATAAGATCACGGATTATGTTAGCAAAAACTGCATTCAACGCGAGAAGAGAACTTATCACAACGAGGGTCAGCCGTAAAATAAAGAAGCAGATGGTTAAGACCTTAGTGTAGAGTGTTTTGTTGTATGGATCAGAGACCTGGACGTTGAAAAGTGAAGAGATCAAGAGATTGGAAGAAGCAGAGATGTGGTTTTGGAGAAGAATGAAGAAGATAAGCTGGACAGAAAGGGGGACAAATGAGGAAGTCTTAAGACCAATTGGAGAGAGTAGAACACTGATCTCAACCATCTTTACACGTCAGAAGAAATGGATCGGTCACATAATGAGGCACCAGGGACTGCTAAGAGATATCATCGAGGGAAGGTTGTTAGGCAAGAGAGGAAGAGGAAAGAAGAGAATGATGTTATTTGATCACTGGAGGAAGAAAGTAAGCAACAGAAGAAAAAACTATGCTGAGATCAAGTGCAGGCCTGAAGATTGTGATGGATGGCGTATGGGCGCTAAACCTGTCTGAAGACAGAAAACTAGAAGAATACAATAATAATAAGATTTTTTTTACACAAAATTCGGACAGTACCACAATTTCTTTATTCTAATATCTCCTCAGCTTATCAAATACCAAATTTATAAAAGAGATAGATAAGTAGATGGACATATTGATAGATATGTAAATAAATAACCGTTACTTATCTTAGCTTTACTTATGATTCCCCCTATCACTTGCTCGTTGTCGTCGTGGGGGGCTTATGCCCAATGCGGAGGAACACCCCTACCTTGGTCCTCAAGCCCTCGCCTTAACTAATTTTGGATAGTCTTAATCTTCTGCTCCTCTTCCCCTAATCCCTTGCCCGTTATTGTCGTGGGGGGGGGGGGGGGGCTTAGGAGGCGGAGACTGGGACTGGGACTCAGCCCTCGACTCAACTAATTTTGCATGGTCTTTTTTTCCACTCCTACTTTTTCGTTTCTGTCCCTTCACCAATCCCTTCTACTTTGTGCCAGTGCTGAACGGCCTGAGGGAGCCATGGGCACGGTATTCCCCTGCTTAGTTGCTTAGCCCTTACCCCTCAAGGGGACCCTGAAGGGTAGACTGTTTTTCTCCCCAACATACCATGGCCAATAATGAAGACGTAATTCTACTATTAGGTTCAATGAGGCTTGCCCCTTCTTTAACCCATTGCCGCCGGGGATGGCGGCAATGACACTTGTACTAAGTATCCAATGAGCCAATTACGAGTACTGCCTGTCGTCGATTTACGAAAATATTTAACGTTATTATAATTTGCTGTCAAAAATAACACCATCTATATTTATAGCACTAGTAAGAATACGTCGTTTCCCGCCAATTCAAGGAAAGATGAAATCAGGACTAGCAGAGCCATCTATGGACAGACATATTTCACAAAAATATAAAAAATGAGTACTGTATTTCCCCCATTTTTTTTCATTTTCCCCGGCGGCAATGGGTTAAATAGCCCCAACAATTCAAACTCTCCCGATTCCCTGACCCCAGGCTCTCCTTTGACCACTGCAACAACTACCCCCTCATCAATGCCTACTAGTACAGTATTCACCCTAGTCAACACTCAACCCCCAGGAGACATTTCTACTCTCCCAACATGCTCAACTTCAACACTTCTAGCCCCACAACCTTCTTCATCAACTATCCCATCCTCCCTTATTAATACCTTACAGTCTTATGGCCCACCACTCCATAACACTACCTCCCTCAACACTACTCCCTCTTCGACACGCCCCCGCAATTCTACTACCCCTATCTCTACAACAATCTTAAATATTCTATTTAGCACAGCCAAATGGGACCGATTTTTTGTGATCTTTCCCACAGCTCCCTACTCCGGCCTTCCCTTCTCTTCCAGCAATGTCTCCAAAAACAAGTAGGCAAAGTCTCTTTCCATAGCCGACCCGACCGCTCCCGTCTCGTCACAGTAACATCTGAAAACCAAGCTATAGCATTAGCAAATCTAACTGATCTATATGGTAATCCCATCCTTGCAGAACCCCATCCAACCCTCAATACTTGCACCGGTACTGTTTTTATCTCCCCAGCAAATTGCCCAATCTATGACAAAGATTGGTCATATTGTGGAGAAGACTCACTCGCCTGTCTCACAGACTATGATGCGACATCAGTACAATGCTACTCCATTCCTTCCAGAGGTCATCGTAAGAAACCCACTAACATTGCCCAAATTACTTTCCGTAGACATGGCTTTCCCTTTAATGTTTACATAGGTGGAGAATCCCTCCCTGTCCGACCATACCAACCTCCTCCTCGTCAGTGCCAAAATTGTTGGCGTTTAGGACACCCACCCAAACACTGCTGTTCCACAGCCAGATGCCCACTATGTGCCCAACCTGGCCATACTCGATCAAACTGCTCTGCACAATCACGCACATGTGCCAACTGTGGCGGCCCCCAAAATGTATTTTATTGGGGCTGCCCCACCTACAAATTTGAGTCTGAGGTAGCCAACTCTCAGATTCATTCTTGAACTCGCACTACGTGAAGCCAGACAGGATGCACGTCGACGAGGTTTTTCTCTTACTCCGTACTCCAGTAATGTTGCTCATTCTACCACTCCCCGTACCTCTCAAGCTCCTACACCCTCTCCTAAACCTACCCCCCCTCCATCTAACATTCCCTCTTCTACCTCCTACCTTCCAGTCAAATTCTTTTGCCATCCTAAATCCAGATACTCCAATCTCTACTACAGCCCCAATACCTTCCCCTCTCCCTCCCCGCACTACCCGCAACAGACAGAATAAACGTTCCACCCCCTCTTCCCTTACCACACAATCACCTCCACCTTCCTTTGCCCCTACTCTTCAGACACCAGTCTTCTCTTCCCCCTCCCTCACAAGAAAACCTTTATCTCACAAAACTCCCCAACTCCACTGAAGAAACTCTTGAAAATATTCGACTACTTAATCAAAACTGACACTCACCAACCTTCAAATTCTACAACTCCCGCTCCCTCCACACTCCAAGTGACTGCCGATATCCATCCTCCTCCTACCAATACCCCCCTTACACCCTATCCTCCTACCCCCTCCCACCTTCCACTCCCTCCTGGATACACACCTGAATCCCTTATATCACAAGTATCCCCTTCCTCAGATATTCAATAACATGAATACATTATTATTATTAATCCCGGGAATAGTCAAGTTATAGATATTTGTATGATTTGTACTTGCATATTTTTAACTATAATCGTCAGAAAAAGACTAACACCATTATTTCATACGTTGAAAAAAAAGATGCAACAGGCAGGCTATCAAGCCATGACCAGTGTTACATTTGTGATTATCTGAGGCGAGGGGCACAATGTTAACCCATTGCCGCCGGGGATGACATGTACGTACATGCCATGCCCGCTGTGAGTCGACTTGTTCGATTGTTTTTAGACACAGATGGCTACACTTGTACTAAGTATCCAATGAGCCAATTACGAGTACAGCCTGTCTCGCCCGTTCACCCTTTTCATCGATTAACTAAAATATTTAACGTTATTCTAATTTGCTGTTAAAAATAACACCATCTATATTTATAGCACTAGTAAAAATACGTTTTTCCCGCCAATTCAAGGAAAGGTGAAATCAGGACTAGCAGAGCCATCTATGGACAGAGATATTTCACAAAAATGTAAAAAATGAGTACTGCATTTCCCCCATTTTTTGTTAATTTTCCCCGGCGGGAATGGGTTAAGATACTGAAAAAGTAAACAAGTTTCTTCTAATACTGAAATAACAATCAAAATGTGCAATGGAAAAGAAAGGCTGAATCGGACATCAAAGAGCGTGCCCGCTGTAGCGAAGGCCAACAGATATGTCCTGCATGTATTCAGACAAGATAATGTTTGTAGATTTCTCCCTGGTAAATCATTGTTAGATTCGCTCCAATTGATTTACTTTTTTCCTGCCGCGCGAAGCCCCGGAATAAGTTTTTTTTATCATATGGCGATACTTGTGGATTCCCAGAAAGGTTAATGGTCATAAAAAATGTGCCAGACATCATAATGTTTGCGACCTTTTGAAGTATTGTGGCGAAAAGGGTAAAAATAACTTAATCAGGACAAGTGGACAGATGTAGAAGGAACTGGAAATGGTTAATGGTTAGAAGAAATGAGTGTGCAAGACATCAAAGGTCATATAGTACTATGTAAAAGTATTGTGGTGAAACGGGTGGAAATGAGTTAACGATTAGGTTAAGATTTAGACGAGAAAGGCTGGGGGGAGCGAATGGAATACAATGGGGATTCGTGAAACGAGAAGAGGTTCAAGATATATGGTGATCAGATCAAAGGGAAAGTAAAGGAAATGGAAAGGGGGGGGGGGGGGGGGAAGAAAGGGCCATACATAATGAGGTGAGGTGAGGGCTGAAGTCCAAGGTTGAGTGACCGACCATTGTTACTTTAAATCTGGATTTATTCTATTCTTTATCAACAGACTTTACCTATTACTGAAGATTTCAAGTGATTCACTTCAAGGATTTTAAAATCGAGATTTTCGTGTATGACTTAATTAAAAAATCCTTACTATCATTTGCACTAAATTTAAGTTGCTTTGTACGTATGGAAATTACAGAAATCCATTGTACTACTTTAAAATATTTAGCCTTTCACAGCCAACGACAGCATTCGAAGACGACCATTATGGTATGCGTATGACTGTTGGCATGGTGACATTACACCTTTGAGTTAGCAAGCGAAGCTCTAACCATCTAAGGGGGTTGATGGAAAAAGCACGAAAATCTATATTCTAGGCAAGAATTATCTTAAAACCCCACAAGGCTATGTATGCTTGATAATAAAGGGGCAAGCCTCAATACCTATAATAAGGTGTAACATTTATTACTGGCCATGGTAACCCTTGAATATGTTGGAGGGAGAAACGGTCCACCAATCCCCTTTGAGAGGTAAGGACTAGATAACTGGGGAATAGTGCCCATGGTTCCTCCAAGCCGTTCACGATCACCACAATCAACTTTAAATCCTTTCAAACTGCTGTCACCTTAGAGAAGAAGGGACTGGAGGACAAAGAAAAGGGGGGAAAAACCGTGCAAAAATTAGGTGGTGATCCCAGTATTGGATCCCTTTCTCCGTCTCCTAAGCCCCCAGGGCAAAAACGGGCATGGGTTTGGTGGATCTCATAGGTAATTAAAGGGATGCAATTCTATTACTCCAGCAGTTACAACCATCTTACCCACTAGAAAATCCTTTACTAGTCCATATATAGAATTAAGCTTCACTGGCTTTGGTTAGTTTTACTAGCTGAATTTTGACTGGTCATGAGAAAAAGGAAGATTCAAAGAGCTAAGATAATTGACTGGATGAGTAGTGAAATTTACTTAAAACCATAAACATCAGGGTGCATATTTAAGGAAATGCTAAAGAAACAATTTTTTCAAGTTTCCTTCCTTTATTGCAACAGGAAACCAATGATCTAATCAGATTCACCATCGCCATCATCGGCCTTTCCGCTTCCCTTACGGAGGTTCTTCCTCTTGACACGGCCTGGGCGTCCACCACCGAATGGACTCTTGAGGGAGAAGTCAATGTGCTTCTGGGAGTCTAGACGTACAATGAACGAGGGAACATTGACGACCTGCTTGCGCACTCTGATGAAAGTAAAACCTCAATTAATTCTAAAATTTTCTTAACTTTAAGACCCTTTCTAGATCTGCTTTCCCTTGCACTACATATCTGATCATTCATTATACTACTATTACCATCTCCAGACAAAATCTATTCAAGGTAGATATTGAAGTACTTGAAAAGTAATTTTAAAATGGAATTGAAGAGCTTGATAAACAGGAAAATTCACCATCTTTCAGATAACAGCAGGCTTTAAATGCCTTTGTTCCCTAAAACAGCAGCAGCTCACCATTACTGGAAGCTCAAGCTTCACCAAGGTTAGTGAGGACCGCAGTATCATCGCAATTAAATGAGACGTTGCTAGGATATACCTAGTCAAGTGGCCTCTAGAAATGACTGAACATGAATATACCAAGTGTATATGGGAGGGAGGGTTGACCAATGAAGTCACAAATGGTCTCACCTGCAAGGAAACAAAATCCTTCTGGTATTTCCCCACAATTCTTATTACTATTCAAAACATTTAGTGTTCTTGCATATTCCTACTGTAATGACATTTCCTCAAGATTTACCTGATGTGGCCCTGCTTGATGAGGACACGTGCATGATGGATAGACTTGGCCAACCCAAGCTTGAAGACCTGTGTCTGCAGGCGGCGTTCCAAGAAGTCCTCATTCTTCAGACCCAACACGTAATCAAGCTTCATGCGGGATTCCTCCAGGACACCAGTACGAACCAAACGACGAAGCAGAGCATTACCTAATGGAAAAAAGGCAATTCCTTAAGTTTCATATTAAGAATAGACTGGTTCTATAATAAATTATAGGTTGTAATGCTTACTAAAATATACGTAGCAGAAGTTTGTTGAGTTAGAATTTTAGCACTAAATACATAGGGAGGTATTTAGTAGTTCAAACATGTGCTAATAAATTTTATACCCTTCTAATGCAAAGTCAAGACTATAGTTACTTAAGCACAATTGTTCCTTCTCTCTGCACCCCAATTTACCTTGGAAAAGCCTCCTAGGGTCCTTCTCATCGAGTGTTAGGAGCTCTCGGGCAGCCTTTCGGATCTTGGCCAAGAGCATCTTCACAATCCATAATTCCCTCTTGTTACGTAGCCCATACTCTCCCAGAAGCTATGGGAAAAGAGAATGGAATAAAATGGTTAGGTTTTGAACAAAATTTCAGTGCAAAACTTAAAAATTGGGGGGAAGGGAGAGGGAGAGGGGGTCCCTGAATTCCTGCAATTAAGTGTGGAAAACATGAGGCTTAGTAAAATTTCAGAAAAATGAATGCTGAGAAAGGCAACACTAATTACAGATCAAAGTACACATGCCATGTTGACTTAATTGTAGTTCGTGTTTAAACAGAAATGGCACCCCAAGTGCACAAGAACTGTCATAAAGAGTAAATTATTAGTCATATCACCTGTTAACCTTCAATTTTTCTTTTATTTATTTTTCTTGAAAAGATACATTTTAAATCATACTTCATGTCAATATCAAACCCTTGTACCCAGGTGACATGACCATCACACAAAAGGTCTGAGGGGGGTGGATGACGGTGTTAGTTTATTTTTCTTGAACTAAGTTGTATACTACCAAGATAAATGATGGGAGCAAGCAAGTGACTTACCATTCAGATACTGCAAATCAAATGGTAAATATGAATATTGGAGGGGAAAAAAAAAAAAAAATCAATACTTTACATAGAATAAATAACTGAAAATAGGCACACACTTGTCACTGAACATGTGTTCACAGGGACCTAGTCTACAAGCCGCCACCACCCAGCAGAGCGGCCAGTCATATAAGCCTAATGCCCAGTTTAAAAAAATATTTCCTGCAACCAGATACAATGGGTTAAAAAATGGCTAATGACTTAGCCATCACATAGTTGCTCAACCTGGATATTTTTTAAGTATCAGGAAAATTCAGGAACCCGGTATTTTCTTCTAAGAATAATGCACCTCCTAGAGAAAGTCCCAAAAGTCTAACGCAAACAAATGCAAACCTAATACTTGCTACCTTCTATTTATTCCCTAGACAGGAAGAAAAGATCCCTGTACCCCCCCCCCTCCATTTATTAGCATCTCCTGCCAAATTACAGAAAATGGACGTTCCCAACTAGCTGTAAGGGTGTTGTGGACCATGCGCAATATGCAGCAGACCTCTTTTTGAGGTAAATATGAGGCCAGAGCAGTTGTACCTTCAGTCTACTACTTTTTCATATACTCTATAAGATGTTAGTGTCCATTTCTCGGTTGCTCTTGGTAACATTAGCCAGGAACCTGGATGTTGGATTACAGAATTACCCAGCTATCAATTTAGATATGTCAACTTGAGTTCCATCCTCCAGGGTGTTCCAAAACCAGAGGTGTGGATCATGTGCACCCAAAAATCCAAATCTTGTCTTTCCTTACTTCTATTCACCCCCTAGGTAGAGAGGAAGCCCCCTTGACCCATCTTAGCACTTTATGCCAACTTACAGAAAATGGAGGCGTTGTGAACCTTGTTTTGAGCAGTAAGCACGAGGCCACAGCAGCTGTGCCTATTTCTGGACCTTTGCTCTAAAAGGCGGCAGAGTACTTCCCTCTTGGCAAAATTAACCTCAATTTATGAAGTAAAGCCATATTTGAAATTACTCTTAATAGCAACAGTCCTTGATTTTTGGCTCTACAAGGTATGGACATGGAGCCCCTAGCAGTATGGTTAATGTGACCTTAAGAACTGTGGCTGTGAGGGTGTAGTGGATCACCGCATTTCCCTATTCTCGTATTCAAGATGCGCGGCGCATGCGATCATAGTTGCTACGCAACGACAACTGCAGTGAAAACATTCCTCACTGAAGCTGTTTTACTCTTCCTCGTTTGGAATTAGCCGCAAGTTTTGCTTTTCGAAATGCCTTTAAGTTGTGCTGCATATGGCTGCATGAACCATAATAAAATGGAAAACAAGCCTGGATTCTTCCGTTTTCCTAATAATGACCAAGAGCTTCAGGAAAAAATGGATAAATGCATGCAAACGCCAACACAAAGATGGCACGCCATGGAGGCCAAAGGGCAGGAACGTTTACCTTTGTGGAAACCACTTCATTACAGCTAAGAATCGAGCTTTTGATGCTAAAAATCAAAATTTACTTATAAAGGTATTCCAACTACTAAGGTTCTGAGCCTTGGAGAACTAACAATAACCATATGAAAACTTACCTTAGGCCAAGGGTAAATTGTTTTCATGGCCCTGGATTCTTAATGTCATGTGATTATTCTTATCAAACTCCCCCTCCTCAATTTTGTCATCTGAGGCATTATTTTTGGCATCTGAACAGAATAAAGAGGAGTAATTTTTTTCAGGGAAGCCAATGAAGAAGGATCCAAGTCATCCAGACTATGTCCCTTCCATTTGTGTACACGCAAGAAGTTGCTAAAAGAGAGCAAGAGAAAATGAAGCAGTTTGAATCAGCAAAGAATAGAAGAGAAACTGTCTCAAAGGAAAAGAAAAATTCAAAAGATTTCTTCCTCTGGTACAGTGCTCAATGCAGTGTTTCTAATGAGAAGCGATGAACTGTTTTCACTGCAGCTGCGCGCACATTCAAAAATAAAAAGCATGTGACGTGAGCTCGAATCCAAGAATTTGGGGCTCTGCCCTGGACTCCCACCCAGTTGTGGAGTTACAGCATGCATGGCATGTGTTTACTTAATTTTTAACACTGTGCCGACGCAGATTATTTCATTTCATGTATTTATGAGTGTATTATCTCTGATTATTGTAGTGCCATTACATTTTCCTGTAAATGTATAACAAGGTATTTACTGTTGCACAACTTTTGCATTATCAACTTGCTAATGTAATACCATAGACGAAAACCGTCGTTTTCAGCCATACTGTCCATTAAGGGCAAATCATTTCTCGTCCTGCACGTGGGAAGCAGCCCATACCTCGGCCTCGGGTTCGCGCGACCTCAGGCTGCGGCCGTGGCTCTGCGGCGCGACTCGCATGCCACAGAGTTGAGGCAGTGCACTCCTTCAGAAACGGTCGCTTACCTTCAACTCCTGGTCGAGACGAGACTTCTCGTACGGCCTCCTGGGGGTGGAGTACCGCTTGCTCTGCACGCGCTTTAGCCTGTGGTTCACCATCTGAAAAACAAACAAGATTCCGTTCAACTCGTGACGTGGTTTTCAATCCTTGAATATCTATCTCAACCGATAGCAATCCGCGTTATAAGTTAGATTTGTTCACTCTCACATTATTGCACGATATATTTTTCACATTCACGGCGGTATATTCACATTGGATTAACGAGGATGCGAGGAAAAGGCAGGCGGGGCAGAAGCCGAACCGTCGACGTACCTTTGCGGCTCTGAAAGAACGAGGGACGAGGCAGGGAGCAGTACTATAACATTTGAGGGACCCGAGATATAAGGATCCCTTTTATAATTTTGCTCTTTATTTTTTCTAGAATTCGCCTACTACTAAGAATTTATGTTAGCTTATCCTTTTAAATCCATTGTTATTATAGATATCATCACTGACTTATGTTCTCTGTAATAATACTAATACTAATACTAATACTAATAATATTGATACTGTTATCGCTGTCATCATTATCATTATTATTTTCATTATTATTATTATTACTATTATTATTATTATTATTTTATTGTTTTATTATTATTATTATTATTATTATTATTGTTACTATCATTATAATCATTATTACAATACTACTTCCACTACTTCTACAACCACTGCTATTACTACTACTACCAATAATAATAATAATAATGATAATAATCAAAATATCAGTAGCGAAAAATAATAATGATAATGCTAATAATATCAACAACAACAACGATCATTATTATCATTATTATTATTATTATCATTATATTCATTATTATTATCATAATAAGGAAGGCGATGATGACAAAGTTGGTAAAAATAATAAGAATGATCATGAAAATAAGAATATTCATATCATAATGATAATATTGGTAATGGCAATATGATAATGATGAAAATAGTAGCATTTATAATAGGGTCAATAGTGATAATAATAACAATAACAAGAACAATAATAAGGATAATTTGATGTCATTACTGATACCAATACTGATATTAATTTTGATGATGATGGTAATGACATCAATAATAATAATGATAACAATAATAATAATAATAATAATGATAATAATAATAATAATAATAATAATGATAAAAATATTACTACTAATACTACTTATTATAATAATAACAATAATAAAAATTAAAATGATAATAATAATGATAATGATACTATTGACAATGATGATGATAATAATAATAATAATAATAATAATAATAATAATAATAATGATAATGATAATAATAGTAATGATACTAATAAATAATAACAGAGATAACAATGATAATAGTAATAGTAGCAACAACTATAACAACAACAACAATAATAATAATAATAGTAATAATAATAATAACAATAATAATAATAATAATGATAATAATAATAATAGCAATAATAAAATAATAATGATAATTCTGCTAATAATTGATAATAACTATAATAATGATAATAATAATAATGAAAATAATAGTAATATAGTAATAATAATAATGGTAATAATAACAATAATAATAATAGTAATGATAATAATGATAATTTTAATGATGATGATAATAATAATGATAATCATAACAGCAGAGATAATAATAACAGTAGTAACAATGATAATAATAATAACAATGATAATGATGATAAAAGTAATATTGATAACAATAATAATATTACTATTAATAATATAATTTTTAGTATCATTACTAGAATCACCATCATCATCATGAAAAAAAAAATAATGATGGTGATAATGACAATAATAATGATGATAATAATGACAATAACACTAGAAGTAATGTTGAAAATAATAATAATAATGATAATGATAATAATAATAATAATAATAATAATAATGATAATAATAATAATAATAATGATAATAATAATAACGATAACAATAATAATATAAGTAATAATGATAATATTGATGACAATGATAATGATGATAATAAAAGCAATAATGATAATAATAATAACAATAATGATAATGATAATAATAATAATAATAAAGATAATAACATCGGTAATAATGATAATGATAATGATAATAATGATAATAATACTACTAATAGTAATGATAATACTATTAATAATAATAATGATAATAATAGTAATAATGATAATAGTATAAAATAATGATAATAGCAGTAATAATGATAATAGTATAAAATAATGATAATAATAATTATTTTATTATTATTATTATAATTACATTCATTACTATTATTTCTATTATCATTTCTCAAATTATGATTATCATTATCATTTTATTATCATTATCATTATCAGGTTGTTTTAATGCTAAGCACTTTTGAAGTCTATTTACCTTTTTTATCTTCTTTCTATTATGGACTTCAACATTAATTCTTTGTGAGGTAATAGTGTTCTGGTTCTTCTCAAACTACGCTGAATTGGACTAAGATTCATATACTCAGGGGGAATTTCTCTGATTGAAAACAGCTGAATAAGGATCTTTACCACAATCCACGGCTTTTCTGATCAATTTCTGTTTTAACTGCCGATTCTGCCATTCCATTTGACTTTGGATAATGTGCCTACGTTGATGATCAGAAATGATAAATTCTGCAAAATCCATGGTCCATTGTCACTTACAACAATTGAAGGAATACCATACTTTGAAAAATGAGCTTTCAACTTTTTAATTACTGAATTAGCTGATGTTCTTTCCAATCCATCAAGCTCCCAAAAAATGATGAAATAATCAAATGTTGCAAGAAAATTATGATTCTTAAGTTCAAATAAATCTACTCCACTTACTACGCTTACGATTCATCAGAGTTTCTTTACATTGAGAATCAGTATAATTGTTACAGGTTTCACATTGGGATACATACATTCATTCCTGGCCAATAAACACATTCTCAAGTACGTCTTCAGCATCATTCAATACCTATATGTGATTAATGTATGGCTTCTTTGATATCTAGGTATTACAATTCTCTCTCCTTTGAAAATTAATCCATTCTGTACAGAATACTCATCTCTACTATTATGGTAATAACTGACACGCAGCATTGTATACCATTGGGTATACAATCATAATTTACGAATACCGGAATACTAGCTCTCCTCCATCAGAAAAAAACCCTCTGCCAACTACCAGTATGAACGGAAATGCTAGGGGGAGGGTTACTGACTCTCTTACCCAGCAGGTAGGTTGTGGGTCCCATAGGGAGGGCAACTGCAGGGCAGCAAAATAAAAATGGGAGTTACTTGTCCTGCCTACACTCTGGCAGCCGCCAACCCAGTGTAAGGCCTGTGGGGTTAAACCCAAGGGATCCCCACTGCCAACCCCCTTTATATGGGGTAGCGTTGGTGGGGGTGGCAGAGATTGCATCCACCCGGAGCAACAGCCCTCGGCTTAACCACAGGCAAGCTGTCCTGGTAGAAGCTCGGAGCATCCGTTTTTTGCGGCAGGATGAGCGGTTACCCCTGCTATCAAGAGGAGTGAAGCGGTTGGGAATTGACTATTTGTCGGTGATGGTCATCATCTCCAGGGGGTAGCCATAGCCATCTCCAGCCGACTTCAGCCTTCGGTAGTAGAGGTAACACAAGCTGATGAGCATATTGGGGCACTGAGATTGGAGCACACTTTTAGCTTGTGCCTCTTATTGCGCTGTGTACACTCCTACCATTGTTTACAAAATCAATGAGAAACAGGTATTCTATGTCAAACTCACATCTGTGGCAGACAATTATCCCCAGTGAGACACATTGTTCAGGCCAATTCCAATGCGGTATCTGGCTGTAATCAAGCTGGCTACGAGATGTCAGCTTCCTTTTCCAGAACTTTGCTACATCCCATAGATTGAGGATTTCAAGGTCCTGGCATCATTGCTCCAGTCCATTTCACTTGGACAGATTGAGGGGGGAGGAGTGTACCCAAGGGTTCACCATAGCATTCTGATCAGTTCACAGAACTCGAAAACCTGACGGACCCAGTGGTTCACTGGGAGTATTTCAAGTGCAAAACACTTGAAGTCCATTTCCATTTCATCTCACTGAAGACACTGGAGGTCACAGAAGTGTTTCACATGGCTTGGCTGAATAGCTGAATCAGGACTTACATCGGTGTGTAGAGCTCGGACACTGCCGAAAAGGGACAAGGAAAATTTCATCAGGAACCTTACTGTGGAGGTTGAAGGCTGCTTGCAGCCTAGATCGACCTTAGGAAGGCGTTGAGTTGCCCAAGCTATGTCAGCCCATTTCTAACTCCTTGTGACAGGACTGGTCGAGTTGCCCAAGTTATGTCTTCCTACAGGCCTCCTCCACCCAGGATTGTATTGCAAAAAGATAACCTGTTGGGCAGGGTTATCAATAGGGAAACGAGCTTGGTGCCCATATACCTTGAGTTGGATTTCCTTGATTATACAAGTATCAAGTCCCATGCCAATCTCACTTTGTAGTCGTCGGCTGGACACATGGTCCTGCCAACTGTACCCCATGATCCAGCGAAGGGACTTGTTACAAAAGGCAGACTCCAAGGCACTAGATAGCATCCAGGTTTCACTTCCATGAAGGCCTTGAAGACACGTAGCTGCATAGGTACCAACATCTTCAAATGCTATTGTTGATCGAGTTCATGGTTCCTGCTACCAGATCAATCCATCTACTGAGTTCTTGGTCTAACAGCCCAGAGACATGGACTACGCTACCAAGTAAAGCTCTCCATGATTTTAACATCCTCACTGCAAGCATGTGTTGACTGGATGAGTTCCCCTAGCAGGCACCCAAAATCCTAAATCTTGGTCTTGGTCCAGGAGACCTCCAAGCCCAAAGGTTTCGCCTAATTACTTAATGCATAAAGAGCTGCCACCAGTTATTCCAGAGACTCAGATAGAATAGCAACATCGTCGGCAAGGTCAAGATCGATGACCTTGATACTGCCCACCTGACTTTGGACAGTAGCTCTGCCCATTATCTAGTCCACTGCGGGAGCATCAACTTAGGCTACATGGGCACTTAGCTCGTTTCCCTGTGGATGACCCTGCCCATCAGGTTGTCTATTTGCGAGACAATCTTGGGTGGAGGAGGCCCATGGGACGACGAAGGAGGTCATGGCTTGGCCACCTCGACCAATCCTGTCGCAGGGAGTTAGAGATGGGCCGAGGACCTGCCTGGAGACTCACCATGAGGGACCCAAGTGGCTGGAAGCGATGATGATGATGCAATAACGACAATAACATAATGATATTAATAGAAAAAAATGTATAATTACAACAGCGATAAAACCAATAATAAAAGATAACAACAACGACAATAACAATAATGATAATATTATAACAACAATAATAATAATAATGATAATAATAATAACAATAATAGTAATAGTAAACCAAATGACAATGTGAGTATTAGTTATAATAGTAGTAATAAGGATAATAATGGCAATAATGATAATGATAGTAAAAGGAATAATGTTATTGATAACAACGGCACTGGTAAAGGCCACCCTGCCATTCCTCCTCCTCGCCATATAACCCAGCAGTGGACAGGGACGCTGATGAAGCTTAGGTTGGGTCAGAAAGAGAGAGGGCAAACTGATGAAAAAATGTAATATGGCATACACAAGCACGGTTTGTGTAAGCCATTAGACCAGAAGACCGCGTGAGCTGCACGCTTGTTCGTGTGTACTCTTCATCAGTAAGGAGTCAAGCAATTAAACCACTATTACTGTCAACCACGTCGCTATTACAGCCTCTTACATGCATGGTGGAAAGAAAGGACTTAAGGGTGTTCAGAAGGGATGAAAGACGTGCGCGCACGTGTTTGTGACTTTATTCGTCCTTAATGGCCATTGCTAGAGGCGCGGTCAGATTGAGAATTATTTATTCAGCATGAAAAAAAAATCGTCATCAAACACCCTTTAGTCTTTCTCATTTATCTACTAATCCTCGGTGGGCACAGAAAACTACACCCTCATGAAAATCTTTATTATGCTAGTGTTTTCAATATTGGTCAGTTATTTAAAACCCAACTGTTGTTTTGAGACAAGGGCCATGCCGTCTGATATCATTCAAGATGACTTGCTCAGAGGAAGAAACAGGGAAACCATTAAGGTTCGTTCATTATTTTTACCATGTAATACCGCACCAAATGGGAAATTAAACAAAAATGTAGTTTTCAATGTCCGCTGAGCGTCTCTTCACCCTATTCCTTATGGTAAAGTTTCAGAGCCTGAAGTTAATAGGCATTCTAAGTATTAAATATTACTGGTTAAGGAATATTACAGTCGGAACACAACAAATGGAAAAATACAGAGGGAAAACTAAAGCCAAAACACTTAGTGATGTTTAGTTTGTAGACCACATTCGCAATGAATATCCGGTGTACCGATCTGTCTTTCCCCCTGCCCAAAATCCTCCCCTTTATGCCATCAATGTGTGGCTGCCCGAGCTCTATCCTGCCGGATCATACGGGTTGGATGTTTGTTCACCAGGCGGGGGGCTACAGCCTAAAAGGAGAATAGAGGACAAAGCCACCTATATATCATCAAATGAACTATCTATCCTGCTGGAATATACAGCTGTGTGGAATTTCAGTCAAGGAGAAAAAAAATCCTGCTTCACCGGTAGTCATTCGTTCCTTTCATTCAAAATCTCACAGGATTACATTTGCCCTTATCAGATTTACGTTTTCACCATTTATTTTATAATCGAGGTTCATGGAAATTAAGTTTTATAAAATAATGGGGTTTTCAGTTCATAAATGAGTGAAGCCAGCTCTCAAGCCACTACAGAAGCATTGATGAAAACAGTATTACGGTGTTGTGTTGATGGAAATTGCCTACAAATTACGCTGAATTTTTATGCCATATTACAGAATATGTCCTTATAGCCACCCCATTTGACTTCAGAACGATTTTGAAACAGGACAGGCTCGCTAATACAATCTGAAGAAGGAATTGCTAGGATTGCCCCCCCCTTTAAGGAAAATCAAAGTGGTACCCTGTTATGACTAATGATAAACGTCTTACTCCTGTTCTGTAAGCAATCCTATGAACAATAATTTCATAAACTATAGTAGTGACATTTGAAGAAGTATTCTGCCCACTGTTCTCTGCTTACACACATTACACTGGTGTGGAAACTGCTATACATATTTATTTACGGCCTCAAAGATAACGAAATGGTCTTTGAAGATGAGCCACGACGACGTAGGAACAAAGCACTATGTCTCTCAGTTTGTTCATTGCTTTTTTTCTCGTTCCTTTATATGTAATGTATGCTGTAGTGAAGCCATAATGAGCTTATGCAATAATCATAATGGGGACTCAAATTCCATTTTGTATTTTCATCCATATTATGGAAGCAATCAGCCAATGATAATAGCATATCCTGGACTTCCTTTGGCCACCCTGACGGTTTTACGGATTGGACTAATGGATTAGCGGAATGATAACTTCAAGGGTGGAGGTAAATCGCATCTTATTAGCTTCCGAGAGTGACAGGTGCGCAGGTTCGGAAGTAAAGGAACGAGGGATTCGCGGATTCACGGACCTCGGACTTACAAAGACGCGGAGGCTGCAATGGACGTAAACATTGAGCATCTCCCTGATGAAATTATCATTCAAATTTTGCATTTTCTCAGCAGTGAAGACCTCATTTCCGTGTCATGCGTGAGCAACAGACTCAGCGCCATCGTGAGTGACAGGGATGTCGTGAGGTAACCTGCTCTTTAGTTTCCCAAGTGCAGTTCGCGACTCAAAATATCGGTCTTAAGACTGTCAGTCATTTAGTCACCAAGATCAGCTTCAGTCACTCAGGAGGAACATAAATCCGAAAGACATTATGCTTTAAACTGATTCACTTATTAGAGATGTATAACGGGTACAATTTTGGTATACAGCCTTTTAGGTGAAGCTAAACATTGAATGGAACTAAAGATTATTTAATTCAAGGCACTTCATTGATGACATTTCCTCTGTAAATTTTTTAAAAATTGGTAAATATTCAGTATACCTTTGCATGACTGATCATGACGATATTGGTGTCGATGGATAGCTCTTACCCTCTACTACCCATATACGTAGACATTTGTCTACAAACCCCACATTTTTGGGCCTGATAGCAGGGGATGGCAAATAAAGGTACTTGGGAAATTGCAGGGTAAAATATGAATAATTCATATAGAATAAGTCACTATATTGTCTGATACAAGAGGCTGTGCCCGCCTCCTCCTGGTGTCCGCTGCCACTCAGTACTGTCTGTTGGCTCTTTGGCAAAGGGCAAATAATTTACCTTTGATAATGTATTCTTGAAAGACAAAATTCGGTCTTGTTCCTTATCTGACAATAAATTACCAGGCTGTCTGGAATTTGTAGAAACAAAGTTTTATTGGTATCATCTCTCATTTGTTACAATGAGTCACTCTGGCATGATAATAGAATTATTAGAACATCTATACTGAGTACATTGGATGAGGATTGGTATTAATTGATATGTTAGCTGACTGATAAATACTTATATTAGAAATGCTAAAAAAAGTATTTGAAGAATTATATATTATTATAGTATATTATATACCATATCTAAAACCTAGAATGAATCTTTGTATTAGAGTCATTAGTGAACTTTATTCTATAATATATGGTAATGACAAGGGAAATGTCAAATCAAGACGCATGAGGTGTGGACTACAACCTTTTCATTCATTATTTGTTTCTTTCTAATAGTTTTAGAAGAGATTTTTAAGATTAAAAATATATATATACTATTTCACTGAAATTGTAAGAAAGAATTTATAATAATGGTCAAAGGACATTAATCTCATGGACTTGTTGAAAAGCCACCACTTTATATTTTGATTTTCTCTATTGTACTGTAATTGATTTGGTGTGTTTTTGTTTTATAGTGGATGGGATATATTGATGATATCCATAACTTGATCGTTTAGGTTATATAGTTGAAAAAATACATTTATATATTTTTTCCAGATTTTTTTAAAACAATTAACCCCTTGGTGCCGGGTGATGCCGATCGGCGTGTAAACAAAGAGCTCGAAAGCTGGCGTGCAGCCGAACGAGCCGGCGGCGCGCCAAAGCGCGGCGAGCCAGTGATTCGGGCTGATGTCCCCTATTCACGCGCTCAAAGTCGGTGCACCGCCTTTGTTTGTTTAAGCGTAGAGTTTTTTTTTCTTTTGTACACCCGGCACCATTGGGTTAAATCCAATATCAAATGACAATGTTAAGGTGATGCATTGCTAAGACATATTTTTTCTACTTATCTGCTAGTTACAATACTGGAAGCTATTTTCAAACAAGGCATCTTATTTAATTGTTCCTTTTTTAATTTCTATGAAGTCAATTTTAATCTACTTCAGAATTTAATCCAATACTTATGTCTTCATGTACGTTTAAATTTTGTAGTTTTCATTCTTCTTCTAGCATCATTGCATTCTTTTATATATTCTCTTAATTATTCAGAGATCTGGACCTGAGAAGTATTTACAAGTGCACCACAGAAGACCTGAAACTTTTCTTCCTCCCACGAAAAAGATGTCACAACATCCAGCACATCAATTTAGAGCATGTTTATTGGATCAAGGTGCCAAATTTTGTGGTGAAGCTGAAGAGTCTTGTGTCACTGAAGATGAAAGGAATTCCTCTGACCTTTTTGCAACTCAAGTGGATTTTAACGTCTTGCTCAAAGGTGGGTGGAGAGAAGAGGACATACCTCATAGCATAAGGGTGTTGACAAGAATAATACCCTGACAGGATTTTGATTATTATTAGATAACATAATTTTTTGTGGAATTAATTTTAATGATTAATTTTATAGTAATTGGAGATATATAGATAAGTATTTATTTCTAAATACTTGTCTAGATAATTCACAATATCCTGGTCAACTTTTTTTTATACATATTTTCTATTTTGTTATATAATTATTTTATACGGGGTCTGTTTTTAATCTGTATTCTTGAGACATGTCTGAGCATTTAATAAAAAAATGTAGGAGGACCAGAATCTGGGCATTAGGCCTACTAGAGCAGTGTCTCTAGTAGGCCCAGAACACATGAACACTCACATTCAGTATCGAGCCTTCTTGCTTCCTCAGTTAGCCACTTTTTTTGATGGTGCGATTTGCTATAATGTCCTTTTAGGAAGCCTCCATTTGATAGACTTTTAAAATTAAGCTGACTCCATATTATCTCTGCAAATACTTCTGCACAGTCTCCAAGGCACATATAACAATATTCAGAAGAAAAAACAATATAGACAAAATTAATTTGAAGGTAAATTACTGAGGTGAGAGACTGAGGATCACCTAGGTCATCATCTTGAAGGGCAGCAGAGGAGAAAAGGTCCTGCCTTAAAACAATTGGAATGAGCATTTCATCTCAAGGAAAGTAGTTAAATTGTGAACTTATATCCTCCTTTTATATAAACTTTTCATAGTTCCACAATTCCCTCTGTTTAATACAGCTAACCAGAGCATATCTAATTACTTAACCCAATGGCGCCGGGTGTACAAAACAATAAAAAAAACTCTACGCGTAAGCAAACAAAGGCGGCGCGCCGAATCACTGGCTCGTTTGGCTGCACGCCAGCTTTCGAGTGCTTTGTTTACACGCCGATCAGCGTCACCCGGCACCAAGGGGTTAATAACGTCTGGCAATGCAAATGCCCCCAAAAAAGGACAGGACAGTCCTGTTTTTGAGCACTCCATCTTCTGTCCTGTGCCACCTGAAGTAGGATGCTAATTTGTCCTTTTTGGGGCTTGTCTAAAAAGAATTACATAAATTATCTTATGTGAGATCAGAGGCCACAATAACCATTGATGTATTTTTATTATAAATTTATGTAGTTGCCGTTAGGAACACTACACGCAGACAAATCAAGAGATCAGTGAAGTGCACGTCGGAATCTGAAATGGTCAGCTTGCCGAAGTGGTTGACTTTAATTCTTGCTTATTTAACCCCTAAAAAATACTGAAAAGAAAGTACATTTAACTATGAATGGGCCAAAGAATTTGGATTTATTGCTAAAGACAGAAAAGGTGACATGCATATTGTGCATGATGCTATTGTGATGTAAAATTTACTGTTCTTATGAATGCATGTATTATGTATATATGTAATATATACAATCCTTTAAAAAAAATAGCCCTCAATACTTTATAGTGGTATTTGTCAAATCAACACTTCCAAATGTATTTTGTATATTTTATTTATTGGATTCAATTGCTTCATGGCAATCACATGGTCAAAAATGCAGGCATATGACATAACAGGCCCCTCTGATGGGTGCATGGCTTGTAGACTGGGTACACAAGAACACTTGTGTGAAGTGACAAAACTCTATGCCTCCCCATTGCAATGTTATTTTCTCTTTTTGTGCATAAACATTTTTAGTATTTTTGATATTTTCTAATATCCATATTTGTCATTTGATTTGCTTTATCCAGATGGTAATACACTGTTTTCCTTGCACAGACTCCATAATCATCTCTAGTTAATCCATTACTCAGTCCAAGAATAATAATGATATGTATCATTTTGTTATGTGTCATTTTTAAACTTTTGAAATATTAAGTTTTCTGCAATACAGCCTGCACTGCCAGTCACAGTGGCCAGAGATAGGATGCTTAATTTAGATTAAGAGTTGGTGTCAGCAAAATTCTTTAAAATGTCCTCCTTTTTGGAAATGGCCATCCTATGTGAAGGGGGGACGAAATTTCAGGGTACTTGTGTCACCAGATGTTTGTTAAACTAATGTTCTGGTAGGTTAGAGAAGCAGTGGGAATCATTAAACTACAAAAATATTGTATAAAAGGGGAAAATATGCTCACAAATTAATTGCTTTCTAGTAGCAATCTCAGGTGATGAAACTCACTCTTTCTTTCTCTTTCTCTCTCTTTTCTCTCTTTTTCTCTTTTTTTTCTCTCTCTCTCTCTCTCTCTCTCTCTCTCTCTCTCTCTCTCTCTCTCTCTCTCTCTCTCTCTCTCTCTCTCTCTCTCTCTCTCTCTCTTTCTCTTTCTATTTCTCTCTCTCTTTCTATTTCTCTCTCTCTCTTTCTCTTTCTCTCTATCTTTCTCTTTCTCTTTCTCTCTGTCTTTCTTTCTCTTTTTCTCTGTCTTTCATTTTCTCTCTCTCTCTCTCTCTCTCTCTCTCTCTCTCTCTCTCTCTCTCTCTCTCTCTCTCACTCATTCTCTCTCTCTCTCTCTCTCACTCATTCTCTCTCTCTCTCTCTCTCTCTCTCTCTCTCTCTTTTTTTTTTTTTTTTTTTTCTCTAACTCGACCTCCTATTCGTTTCAAAACGAGTCTCTGTGTTGTGAAATATATATGCAATAATATTTCACAGAACAGTCCACTGGCCCCGTCCTCGCCAATGGCTGTGGTCGACATCCAACTTATTTTAGGGAGATGTATTTTAACCTTATTACTTTTGTTTACAATTACATATTTCTCTCGATTCTACTATTTACAACAGTTTCCTCTATATCTAAATCCTTGAGACTAGTGTACATTGCCGGTTTGTTCCTTGTTCCTCGTAGACAGAGCAGTGAAGACCGTAGTAGTGAGAAGGCCAATCGACACCTCATCCATGCAACGACGGCGCTCTTCTGTTGCTGCCTTTTCTCTGCAAGTTGTTGTGCAAGGGATGAGTAGAATATCGTCGCTCTCGGTGACATTCCCCCAGAAGTCGTGAATACAAGAGGTGTGAAAGTACCTTGCTCGACTTCTCGGACGCGTTCGCCATACTCCCTCATTTTGTTGTTCTCATGCTTAGTGTGAGCAGAGAGGAGTTCCTGGGATCGGTTGCTCGTGGCCATAGGGTTGAAGATTCGTATGTCAAAGAAGGCCCGTTGCCCTCGTACCCAGAAACTGTTGGCACTGATGTCTAATCTGGCGTCATCTGCAGTGTTGGCGGATTGGAGTGAGAAGTTGCGCCCTTCTGTGGGGATGAGGGGAGGTTCGATCCTCACGTCGCGGCACACCTCGCCAAGCATTTGTGCAGTCACGTCCCTCACCTCGTCGTGGCGCATGCAAACAAAGCCTCCCGTCTTGCACGTCATGGCATGGTTGGGGTCGAAAGCCGAACCGCATGTGCAGTGCTGGTGAAGGTCCTCTATTGGCCAACCATATCTCAGGGCAAGTGCGTCCACAAACTCCTGTTTGTTTCAACTAAACCCTTTGACTTTGATGGGGAGACTGATCAACCAGTTAGAGGTGCCGGTTTCGCGTGCCATACTCAGTCTTCTTTTCATATCCTCAGTAATTATAGAGGTTAGTTCTTGAAGTTGTGCCCTCTGCTTTGTTTCTCTATTTTTTGTAATTTCCATTTTGATTTTTTTTTGTTGTGTTGTATCAGGCTGTGTATATGTTTCTTGCGTTATTATGGCCTGAGTTAGGCTGGCTGAGAGCTTGACAGAGTTTTGGAACTCCATGGCCGCTATTTTACACGGGTTTGTTATGCCGAGTCCCCCAAACCTTGGCGGAAGTTCGAGTATGGCTCTCTCGTTGGCAGTGGGATTTCTTCCACCTGATAGTGCTGGGATCAGGTGCTTTATAATTGCTTCCTCAAGTGGTGAAAGTAAAGGCTCGATGTTAGGTATAGTTCGCATTAAGAAGTTCCACTTGTGTTTGATACCGAAGGTGAAGGCGGTATATGCCGAGTGCGGTTCCTTCTTTGCGATTTCTGCCAGCTCTATCACTTCCCTTCTCCATTCATCCACTTGCCTTGTTATGTATTCTTCCCTGGCTGCTGTTGTGCCAAGAACTGCCCCAAGGTGTTTTTCACCGCCGGCCTTTATAATCACGTTTGTTTCTCGGAAGGCTTCTCTGGCTTGTCCAAGATATTCCAGTTTTACAATTAAAACTGATTTGGCGGTGTTCGGAAAATATCCTTGTGGAGGGCCATGTGTCTCAATGAGATTCCACCACTTCCTTATGTTCTCAATTTTCCCTGCTCCGGTCAGGTCGTCGGCATAGGCAACTTGCTTTATATTTGTTGTTGTGTGGTCAATTATTGTTTGTAGCCTGAGGAGACCGATGGCGTACATCGCCATGGCAACTGGGTCACCTTGTGTTGTGCCCTCGGCTGAAGCTATCATCTCATAGGTATTTGTTCTATTGTCGACTATGTGGAGCTCTGCTGGGTTGTTGTAGGTGTTCTTAATGTATTGTGCGAGGCTTGGGCATTTGACCTCTATATTGTGGATTGTTGCCTTCCGGTTGATGTTGTTGAAGGCATTTGTAGCATCCACCATGAGTACGGCCTGACAATCCGGCTCTTCATAGATGTTTCTCATGGCGTGGATTGCTGCCTCACAACCTGCCTGTGGACCTGCACACACCTGTAAATTTCCCACGGCTTGCCTAACGTCGTCTCCGACAACGTTCGTGATTGCCTTGCCGATGATTTGTCGCAAGACTTCTCCAATGCCAATGGGGCGGCATCCAGGCTTCTTGTCGAGGGCAATTAAACGACAAGCTGTAAGGGCATCCAGGTTGTTGCAGTTTTCTGTTGCAAGTTTTCTAGCAAGAGATGCAATGGCTTTGCAAAGGTCATTTGCAGCTGACCCAAACTTGCTGCTGCTCAGGATGGTTTTCCATGCCTTTGCGTCGAGTCCAGAAGGTCCAGCTGCACCATGTGTGTACAATGCATGTGTTCTTATCTTTTCACCGGTAATTCGCTCAAAGATCTCCGGAGGTGGGGGATTATACTCTCCACGAAACATCGTTCCCGCCGCCGCTTCCTTTGCAGGCGGGTGCTTTTCATTGAGCAAGCGACGGGTGTTTTCATTTAAGGGTAATGTCCCTCTCTCTCTCTCTCTCTCTCTTTCCTCTCTCTCTGTCTTTCTCTTTCTCTTTTTCTCTGTCTTTCTCTTTCTGACTCTCTTTCTCTGTCTTTCCCTTTCTCTCTGTCTTTCCCTTTCTCTCTGTCTTTCTCTTTCTCTCTGACTTTCTCTTTCTCTCTGACTTTCTCTTTCTCTCTGACTTTCTCTTTCTCTCTGACTTTCTCTTTCTCTCTGACTTTCTCTTTCTCTCTGACTTTCTCTTTCTCTCTGACTTTCTCTTTCTCTCTGACTTTCTCTTTCTCTCTGACTTTCTCTTTCTCTCTGACTTTCTCTCTCTCTCTCTCTCTCTCTCTCTCTCTCTCTCTCTCTCTCTCTCTCTCTCTCTCTCTCTCTCTCTCTCTCTCTCTCTCTCTCTCTCCCTCTCCCTCTCCCTCTCTCCCTCTCTCCCTCTCCCTCTCTCCCTCTCTCCTCTCTCTCTCTCTCTCTCTCTCTCTCTCTCTCTCTCTCTCTCTCTCTCTCTCTCTCTCTCTCTCTCCCTCTCCCTCTCCCTCTCCCTCTCCCTCTCCCTCTCCCTCCCTCCCCTCCCACCCTCCCTCCCTCCCTCCCTCCCTCCCTCCCTCCCTCCCTCCCCTCCCACCCTCTTTGGTATATGACATTCTTATAAATATGTATGTTTGTATAATAGTGTATAAAGTGTTTTTTATGTTTATCTAGTTAAACAAAGAAAAGGTGATTTTGTAGTGCCAGAGAATATGAAACTCTTCCATGTTTAACTTTGATAATAACAGTTCTTGAATTTGAATTTGAAAATTTATCCACTTTACCCCATTTGATGGCACAATACATGATTAAAATGTTCTTTTCATAGTATGTAATCTGTTTTATTTGCATTCCTCCACTATAGTGTGTAATTTGACCCATAATCCTTCCTTTTGCAGATTCAGGATTTATCAATAAGCTGGCCAGATGATATGGAGTCTGAGAATAGACAGCAATGGATAGGTGGCTTTGAGGAAGTAGCAGATATACTGAATGATTTAAAGTCACTACAGATACTGATTTATTCCAACCCAGCACCAATACTGGAACTTCTTACACTTTGCAAGGGTTTGAGGAAACTCTCCATTAGTAATCATCATGCACGCTGCTACTTTTCAACTCCAAGGGATTTGAACAGTAAGACCTAATCCAGTGTTGACAGGAGGGGGGGGGGATACATGCAAGTTCTACTGTGCCTTTTTGTTTATTGATTGTCTTTACCCATAGATGGTTCCACGAGTGCTTAATCACTAAGGAATCAATTGGTAGTCCTACTTAGCTCACTGTTTGCCCTTTTCCATGTTTTTTTTTTGGAAAGATAAAAAAAAAACATTAGTTTTGTTAGCAACATTATAATGATCATAATGTAACAACAATAATAATAACATTGATATTAATAGCATTAAAAAAACAGCATTAGATTTTTTTCCGGGAAACAAGGAAAGGCTAAGTCACTGAGGACATGTAGGCTTACTAGTTGGTTGCTTGGTGGCAGAGTACTTGTGGAGCCATCTGTGTGTAAACAGAATTCACAAAAGAAAATGATAGTAGACAGTGTGACTTCCCAGCATAATTGGGCTAATGTTGATTATAATATGATTTGTATATTTGTGGTTTTATTGTGGTTACAATATTTGTTTAATGTATAGATAGAGTTGATGAACTGATATTACTGTCTGCCAATCAATAACAGGTCATAAATACAAACTAGACTTCCCACATCTGGAAGAACTTGTGATAGACCATGCTGATGGGGCTTTTCCATTTAGCCTAATTGTGTGAGTATATTTTGGTCTTAATTTTCAGTGTATGCATGTGTTAACACAGTATCTTTTGATAAAATGAACAACTATGAATACTGTTCCCCATTGGTAAATTATGAAACATTGTAATGAAACTAACAGATTAATTTTCAAATGAAATATTTTGAATTTTTTGTGGCATTAATTAAATCTGTGTCATCATGCTTAACCTGAGAGAAAATGTTGCTTTGGAAAAGAATATCCGTATTTTCAAAGGTCTTATCACAATTTACAAAATCATTTAATTTTCTCAGAAGCCTCATTGACAGCATATCTCAAGGTTACAATTCTTCAGCTGAGTGGAAAACCTATTGGATAAACACAGAAATTCAGATGGATACAGAGCATGTTAGAAGATTGGGTAAGACTATGACTTTCAAGAGTACTTCACGTTCTTTTTAGACTAGATATTTTAAGAACAGAACACTTAAGTGATAGGCTGGAATTTTTGTTAGTATGCACTATTCATGGATATCAGTTTTAGGATAAATTTGAGGATAACTTCTAAGGAAATATACTTTTTCTTGTAACCAGCCTCTACTCTTTCCAATCTCAGGAAAGAAAGAAGTGGCAACTCATGATGGACTCTGGAGTTCTCTAATTTGCCAAGTCTCATTTAAGGAAATACTGTGCATTGAAGACAACAAATTAAATAATGTAAAGAATAAGAAGTACAGTTTAGAAATAAAAATGAAAATAAAAATAAATGAATATTGTGTGTGAGTTTTAAACATTTAAATATCAGTAGTAATTGTTAGCTGATTAACAAAGAAAGAAAAGAAAAGAAAAAAAAAAGAATATTCCATAGGTGAATTGCCAGTTTCCTTTCCTGAGACTGGACATTTAACCCCATACTGACAGGCCACGCCTTCCGGCGTCATAACAAACCACTCGATCTGTGAAGTGTGGCTGTATGCCGCAGAGACGCACACTCCCACACTCAAAGTCGGCTCATTGCCAATAGTCTCCAGAGCATACAGTTTTTTAAAATTTTCTTCATTTGTCAGTAAGGGGTTAAGGGAAGGGGGGTCACTTTGTTAGGTAGCTAGCCTATGGTATACATACACAAATAAGGAAACTACCAAATGACTATTGCTCCTCTCAAGAAATAACATAACTTAAGTTATTTCTTGAGAGGAGTAAGGGCATAAGCTTCAACAGGGAGACTATATATGTAGGTAATTAGCAACATACACATTTGTTTGAATTTTTGCTCGTTGCAAACATGCATATGGCATATGATTAACTTGGTAATAGTCTTATCACAAAGTACACTAAAAGAGTTTATATTTATTATACACCCACACACACACGCGCACACGCACCCACACACACCCACACACACGCGCACACACACACGCACACACACACACACACACACATAGATAGAGATATATATATATAACATCATTAGATTTATTATTAGAGTAGAGATAACGACCTTTGGTAAGTGTCCATAGTTCCAACAACCTGTTCTCATTTCTTTGTTTACATATATTGCAGTACCGTCCAGTGTTCATAATTTTCGTGTGCCTTGAAATCAGTTGATTACATTCACGAGTTCATCAGAATGCGCAGGGCGTGTAAAAGCCTGATTTATAAATTTTGTATAAAAAAAATATATAGTTTATGTAAACCCTAGGAAAAAAAAAAATTGGGGGTTCATTGCCCCTCCCACTTTATAGCATGAAAAAGGGAAAAAAGGTATCTACAACC